GCCCTTTAAAAGTAATTTTCTTTTCTGTCAGTTCGTATTTTATATCAACTTTCATTCAGCAAAATATTTTTGCATGAACATATGAATAGTTTTTCCAGTACACTTTGAGTATAGAATAAAAAGGACTGTGTAAAACATGTATAAATCTTAACAAAGATTTATACAACGTTTGACATACTTTATCACATGGCCTGGCTGACTCACATTTAAAGTATTTTTTACACTTTCAAAAATCACACAAAATTCAAATTCAATTAAAAAGCTACAAAAAAATCTAAAACACACCTAGTCACACTGAAAAAAAATTTAATAGCAGATACAGTTTATGCTAGACTTACCACACATCAAGAGAAGTGTACACAGCTTTTAATCAGTCATTATATTCTTGCCCTTACAACCCCTCTGTGCCACCTAAATTCTGGCAAAAACGCTGGCATACCTTGGATAAGTTAAGGATATGTTTTGTATAAGTTATGAGCATGCTGAAGTACACTGAAACACGTGGAAGCACGTTGGCACACGACATGCCAGCGTATGTTCATACCTGGGCCATAAGTTACAGGTAAATTATGTGATCGTTGACATACGTTAAGTGTAAGTTACTCATAAGTCGTGGTGTCTAGAGTAGCTTATCCAAAACCAATGAGTAACTTGTCAATAACTTATTAAAAAAGATGCAAGTAAGTTATAAAAAAAAAAAAAACATGCACACAACATTTTTCGTTTGCGTTTAGAAACACAGCATGATGTACAGAGATCCCAAAGGTCTTTGGTCAGTGAATGAAAGAACACTGTTAGCATATGTTTGCTATTCAAAGGTGGGGATGACATCACTCCTGCTGGTGCTTCAGGAGGAGTAAAGCATTTGGAATAAGGTTCAGAACCACTTCTAAAGTAGAGCAACAACATGCACCAAGTGACATGAACACAACCAAACACTACCGTTCGATTGACTCGGCTTTAATACTGGCTTTCTTGGCACTACAGCATTATTCTATTAAAGGATTGTGTTGTTGGATTTTTCTGTCTGTTGCTGACTTGCAGTTACGTTTCCCAGCTCAAACATGAAAGTTTGTGTATTCCAACCTTGGATTTACTGTACTTTGGGGTTCATTACTATTTCCTGGTATGATGATTTGCCACTGAGGCATAATATGAAATGATATGACTATGTATAGCTCTAACCTTGGTGAAATCTTTATTATCTTAGTACTATCGTAATTACAGCTGTTAAGTTACTGTATTTTCCAAACTTATTAGATTATTAAATTAGAATAGATCCTATAGATCAGTGTTTCCCAAACTTTTTCGACTTAAGTATCCCTTTGGGCAATTTTTTGTACCATGAGTCCCCCTCTCGGTCAAAAGTATTTATGATTGTCCAAAAGTGGAACAGACAATAACTGTTTTACTTAATTTTTTTAATTGAGCATTTCATTTTTAATAAATGTATGCTTTTCAACTCAAATAAAAGAACCCAACATAAACATGTTTCCTGGAAGTTAGTAAGGAACTGAAATAAATACAAAATAAAATCCTATTATAAACCTGTATTTATAAAACTGGAGCTCGTCTGAGTAACTCCCCTATAATCACATTTAAACTAGATGAATTTGGAACAAAATACAGAAAGAATATTATAGTCAGACTGACTTAATTTGTTTTGCTTTGCTTTAATCTTGACACCTGAGCTGCTTTGATGAGCTCCGATAGCTCAGTTTAAAAAAACAGCTGATCCCAGGCTGTTCTCTACATCCAGTCTGTTCCTCTGCTTGATTTATATGTGTGGCACAGCTGAAGGTGAACTCAAATACATAAGAAAAAAATAATATTTTGGTTGATCAAAGCTTGTTTAAGTTTTTCAGTTGAGTCCTCGGAAAGTAAAACAGATCCCAGCCCTATTTTATTTTACTACCTAAGAAATCAGTCATATCAGTCAGTCATGTAACCAGGCCAGGGTGGGTTTCAGAGGAGGCGGGAGAGGGGGTTTCTACACTTAATGCACAATATCAGAGGGAGTCAATCATTCCAAAGTATGGATTGAATAATTAAATGGACAGTGAGTTTGCCACGTTTAATGAGATTTGTGAGGAAATTAGTCGACCTCTCAAGATGGAATGCAGTACAAAAAGCTGTTGAAGATCTAGCAATAAGGCAAAGCAAGTGTTTTGGTATAGCACAATTCTGTAAATGGACAATTCAAATTGCTTTACATGAATTATTTAATAGAATAGAAGAAAAATAAAAGCAGACTAAAAGCAAATACAGATAAAAAGAAAATGTTTAAAACAAATAAGATAATTGGACCAAAACCTTATAATAACCGTATATAACAACCGTCAATTGCTGTTCTAAGTAAATGTTTTTTTTTTAACTTTGACTTACAAAGAACTCAGGCTTTCAAAACGTTGACAGTCTTTTGAAAGTGTGTTCTAGATCAGTGGAACATAGGAACTAAATGCTGTTTCTAAATGTTTGGCTTTAGTTATGGGTGGACAGAGTAGGCTTGAACCTGAAGGCCTGGTTTTTGAAGTCTATTCTCTGAGCTAAAGGGAGCCATGAAGGACTTCAGAACCTTGCTGATGTGTTCCACTTTCTTAGTTCTAGTGAGATCAGCAGTGTTTTGGATCAGCTACAGCTGTCCGATAGACTTTTAAGCAAACCTATGAAGACACCATTGGAGTAATCAATTCTAGTACAGATAAATGCATGAATTAGTTTTTAAAGATCCTGCTTGGACATTAGTCCTTTAATTCTGGAGATTTTCTTCAGGCGATAAAAGGCTGACTTAGCAAGCGCCTTTATGTGTCTATGAAGGTTCTGGTCCGAGTCCATCATGACACAAAGATTACAGCCATAATCAGTAGTTTGTAATGTAGCTGTAGTAGCTGAAGCTGTGATTATAGGGATAACAGAGGTACTTTCAAGGTATCCATCCATCCATCCATCCATCCATCCATCCATCCATCCATCCATCCATCCATCCATCCATCCATCCATCCATCCATNATCATCCATCCATCCATCCATCCATCCATCCATCCATCCATCCATCCATCCATCCATCCATCCATCCATCCATCCATTCATCCATCCATATTGTATTATAACTTGTACTATAACTTAATTGATTACCCAATCATTTAATTAGGCAATACAAATAAAGTACATTTACAGACCTGTTTGTTATTGATCTGAACAGCCTCTTACCCATATTGAAGTGTGTGAGTCAAAATGACCCAAAACATAATATTTGTATACAAACACTGCAAAGACTTGCCACTACAGAGTAAAGTGTCCAGATTTCACACACAAAAGTCACAAACTTCCATAATCGAGAGAGGCTTCTGCTTTGCTCACTAAGGGACAAAAGGCGCCACCTTGTGCTAGACAGCTGTAAAGGCAAGTAAGACCTTTATTTATGTCTTAACTAGTTTGACCTTAGCATTGAGACGCTGATAAAAAATAGCTGACATTCACTTTCATTATTGCTAACATTCACTTTCATTATAAATTTTAGTATGGGGAGAACAATGAAACCAAAAACAAGAACATTTCCAAGGTTTACAGATTATCTATAAAATAACCAAACCCCTTCCTGACTTAACTTAGGTTTTCTCAAGGAACCACAAGAGTAAGGAAAAACAAACCTTCTAAAGCATTATAGTGCATCTTGCTGCTTTAGAGAATGTTTATTCAAATACAATTCAATTCAATTCAATTCAGTTTCAATTCAGTTTATTTATATAGCGCCAAATTCACAACACATGTCATCTCAAGGCACAAATACATCTTTGACTAAACAAAAATACTTAGTATAATATGTCTTAAATGCTGTCAAAAATATAAATCAAAATTTATATGAACAAGTAAGTTGAGAAACATAAGTAGCATTGATTTCACTTAGATAAACCTTATTGTCACTTTGTATACACAGAGTGTAAAAAAGAGGAAAATTCATTTTGTACTGCTTTCATGACATTTCTATTTCTTAAATTGCAGCATTGATCAAATATAAACATTGGGAGAAAAAAAGTATACTGCAATTTCACAGGTCAGATATTATTATTTTAAATATTTATTTATTTATATAATCTTTACTAATACTATTATTATGGAATTAATGAACTAATGCAGACATTAGGATACCCACTCAATTGTAGTTCTGAAATCTATCCAGGAGATGCCGCCATTCTAAACTGTTGGAATGTTTGGAGCATGGTGCGAACTTTGGCCAATTGTGTCAAATTGGTTCATTGGATCACAGGCTTTGAAACTACCATCATCAGCCTGAACAGCAATGCAGCTCATCAGTTAAAACAGGAAGTGAACACGATACTTCTCAACAATAGCAGCAGTAGCACCCCTATCTGCAAACTAGCACTGCATAGGAGTACTACTCCATAAAATGCTAACTTTAATGAGAAACTTCAGATCTCAATTTCTTTTTTAATTAAGACTTGGGCCTTTTTTTCCCCTTAACACTACCTACCTACGTGCTAAAGTCGCTCTCTGGTAACTCCAAAAAGTCCCACCAATAATCTTCCATGAATTGCATAACAAACCTTTTCCAAGGCCAGCGTTCTGTGTTCTCTGTGTCTGTTGATTTAATCCTAAATGTGTTCAATGATTAGCCTGTGACTGAATATGAACAGTAGGTTGCAAGAGCGTCTAAAGAAAACCAAACAACACATGAATAATACATCTTCGAGTAAATCATGACTTCAGTTCAACTTTGTGTTTTTGATATTTTGAAATGAAGTTGCGCCCAGAAGGTAGTACTGCATTCAAAGGCTTTATTGATTTTGCTTTGTTTACTTGTTTCCCTCACAGAAAAGATAATTTTTTATCAGCACCGAAAAATTTCTCAACTGCTGCCGGGAATTTCTGTGTTAATCTGTTTGTATTTTACATAGCTAAACAGACAGGAACATCAGGGGCGGAGGGAATTGGGAACTTCCCAAAGACAATGCAGAGGATAAAAGGAGTGCTCTGAAATGGTCTGTTTCACACTGGCAGCAGATCAGAACAAGGTAGGAGGATGAGGAGAACTCTTCTTCTGCTGTTGGCCTCTCTGGTCTTTGCCTCCCTGGCTCCTTTGGCTGATGGAGCCAACCTGTAAGTAGATAAGTCTATGAGGCATGATAATAATTGTTTAAAACTATTCCCAAAAAAAGTATTTTATCCATTAATTTGAATATTTGAAAATATTTTGCTTAATAATTGTACCTTAAATCTATAGTTTTTTCAATCCTGCTCCTGAAGACACAGTGTCCTACATGTTACATCTTCAGGACACCTTGCCTAATGGCTGTTTGATAGGCTTTTGCTGAATTTAGTGTGATAAGAATCTAGAATCAGAAACTGATTCTGATTACAAAGCAGGGGAACATAAATACGGAGGGCAGTGTGTGTTCAGTAGCAGGGTATAAAAATTCTGCACACTAATTTATATCAATAACTTTTTCTCACGTTAATCGCTTTGATGTTTTACTGTTTGCCGAATGTTAGTTTAATTTTAGTGGTAGATACCTTTTTTTTTGCTAATACCGTAGATTGCAGCCCAGTTAGCCCCTTGTGTTGCATAAGATTTTGTTGTCTTGCCTGAAAGTTGACCTGATATAATTTTGTGTTCGTGTAACCTTGCCTCCCTCCAGACACAGCAAACAGAGACAATCATCATATGATCAATAACATCATTGATCCCCTGCTGGACCTTAATCAAAATAATCAATGGATAATTCATTAAGTATAAAGTCCATACTGCAGATCAGTCCTCCACTGTACAAACAAGTTAGAAGAGATTGCAAAACAAAAAAAACAAAAAAACGCAACACAAAACAAACTAAAGCAGTTATCTAAAGACTCAGCAACTGCCAATATCAGAGTTGTCACTCTTTAAACCTATCGAAGCATTTTGGATTCTGTCCTTCTCTTTTACAAAGAGGTCTTCAATCGTGGTTTTAAAAGAGGTCTGAAAAAAATATCTTTTATCTTTAAGGTTGCATGCAGATATAATTTTATTTTTTCTGCTCATCATTCTGCTAAGTCTGTAAAAGGTAGAAAAAAGGGGTTTTAATAACTGCCTATGATCCAAAAGAATATCAGTCATTATAACTATTTACCATTTTATCCGCCTGCAGCAAAGTGATGTCTGCTCCCAATCTGATGCGAGTAGGAACAGCAGAAAACATCTTTGTGGAATGTCAGGATTGCCCTCCTGCAGGGAACATTCCCGTCAAAATTACTGTGATGAACCATCCTACTAAAAACAAGAAGCTGGCTGAGAAGGATGTGTTACTCAACAATGAGAACAACTTTCAGGGGTTTGGAAAAGTGACTGTAAGTAAAACACCTTTGCATTATGTTTCTGTCAAAGGGCTACTAATGCACCTTGACCCAAGAATATATATGTCCTGTTTGTTTTATTTTTTTTATCTGCTTGCAGATTCCAGCGGGAGACTTTGATAAGAACCCCAGCGCAAAACAGTATGTTTATGTGCAAGCTCAATTTCCAGACCGATTGCTGGAAAAAGTTGTTTTGGTTTCCTTCCAGTCTGGCTACATCTTCATACAGACTGACAAGACCCTGTATACTCCCAACAGCAGAGGTGAGTGTAGAGCTCTTCTGAAAACACAACATATATCCGATTTACATCAAGGGTTAATGCTGGAATTCAAAAGACTCTGGAAAAAAAATTCAGGCTTTACAGAAATGCACCATTTAACTTGGTAAATGAAAAAAAGCCATGTAAAAGTGGAACCACTCTCTCTTTGTTAGTATATTACAGGATGTTTGGTTTGACCCCCGAAATGCAGCCCGTGGAAAGGAACAATGAGAACCAAGTTGATGCTTCTATTGACATTGAGATTGTGGTATGTGTTTTATTATTTTTGGAAACTAATTTGCCCTCAATGTTTCACATTGAGTTTTGTTACCTGCCAATGGATAAAACAGGAAAACCCAAATATTTCGTTGGACCACTCAGTCCATGAGAGATGTTGGTCTGACTTTTAAAAACTGCATTTTCTTTAGACTCCTGAGGACATCATCATACCTGTTGATTCAGTTGCTCTTAATGCTGGTATTTTCTCTGGAGATTACAAACTTGGTGAAATTGTTAGGTGAGTTATTTTTGACTTTTTTGATAACTAAATAAAAGCTAACTTAATATGTACATTTTCTAGTCATATCATAGTCATATAATAAATACTAAATTGTCAGGATATATATATATAAAATTGAGATTTACATGCAGGATTGATGATTAAGATTAAGAATAAATTTGCGACTTTCAGTTTTTTCCAGGAACAATGGGATTTATTGTTAAATAATTGATAGGTAGCAAGTATTCTAAATATTTTTTTTTCTCAAATATTTGCTGTAAACTGTACATAAATCTTTCCATAGCCCTGGACTATGGAAGGTGGTGGCAAAGTTCAAAAGCAACCCACAGCAGAGCTACTATGCAGAATTTGAGGTCAAAGAATATGGTAAGCATCCAGTTACTCAAGCTTTTACCGCACCTCTACATTGTTTTCTTGCTTTTCATCAAAATGAAAACTTTATTTCGCAGTGCTTCCCAGCTTCGAGGTCAAACTGCTTCCTGTTGTCCCTTTCTTCTATGTCGACAGCGACAAACTTACCATAAACATCAAAGCTACGTATGTGGAAATCTTTTTATCAGTTATTAAAGAAAATAAAGCGGTCTTATTAGTTTTTCCTATTGCATTCCCGTAAGGATATCATTGTTGTTTCTTTTAGATATCTGTTTGGAAAGGAAGTTTATGGCACTGCCTATGTGGTCTTTGGTATAATGGAAGAAAAAGATAAGAAAAGCCTCCCAAACTCTCTTACACGGGTTCCGGTGAGTACTTGAAATTCTTTTTAATATTTTAGTTTTCGATTAAATATATTTTTCATGTTAATAATAAAAAAATCCAGACTGACCATAATCTGTTGGTGTTGGATCTCAGGTTACGAATGGAGAAGGACAGGTCACACTGAAAAGGGAACAGATAACTCAGACCTTCCCAGAGATCCTTAATCTTGTTGGAAAGTCCATCTTTGTGTCTGTTAGTGTCTTGACAGAGAGCGGTGAGTAGTTTATATCTTAAGTTGTGTTCATTTATTAAACACGCACATTTGCAAGTCAGTTGCATTTAGTAAAGAAGAACAAAACAAGAATCATTTCACATACTCTGAAGGTGTTTCTCTTCTCATGCTGAGAGGCTCTTCCTTATTTGATAAAGCCAGCCTTTCCCAGGAGTACGATTCTCTACATGTGTTTATTCCTTATTTTATAGGCAGTGAAATGGTGGAGGCGGAGTTGAGAGGCATCAAGATTGTCACATCACCCTACAAAATTACTTTTACAAGAACTCCCAAATTTTTCAAACCAGGAATGTCCTTTGATATTGCGGTACAGTGATTTTTTTCTTCTTCTATGTTTACAATGTCATCAGCTTCTAACTCAATCAACTATAAAAAATCGTCCATATCATATTTAATATGCATTGTTAACCTTTCACTAAATATAATTTAAACTACTCCAGACCTATTCCTTGGATAAATCCATCTAATGCTGCTATATTTCTCATGAAATGTGTTTTGTTATTCTTTTTTTCCCCCTTAATAACAGGTTGAAGTGGTTAATCCTGACGAAAGTCCAGCAGAAGGTATCCCAGTGGTGGTTACTCCGGGAAATGTTCGGGGATTCACAGCAGCCAATGGGATGGCAAGGCTGACTATTAATACAGCAGCAACGGATTCTAAGCTGACAATCATTGTAAGCAGCTTTAAAGGATTTATATTTCAGCAATGCCTTGATAAAAGATGAGATGAATAAGTCATTAAATAGATAAAAATATAATGAGAAATTACATTAAGAAGATTTTTGGTTGAAGCAGTGTAACATTCCAGTTCAAAGCTAGTTGTTATCTAAAACTTGCAAAGAGTATTGAGGGAAATAAATGCCTGAAATTCCTTTAATTCTTATTTGTTAATTTTGCTGACGTTCCTAATCGCTATGAACAGTGAGTCAGGCTTTTTAAAGTGTTGTTAAAGATCTTCACTAGAAATGTTTATGCACTACCATACTTGTCAAGATTAAGATTTGAAATTTTAGGGGAAATTTTATGACCTCTGCAAACCGTCTGACTATCCTAGTCAAGCTCCATTATCCGTGGTATTTTAAGATATGTACACAAGACATGTGAAATAACCACTTGTCAACCAATTGCAAACTACAAATAGTTGATCAAATTTAAACTTGCGATGCTAGCAACAGTTCCATTTTAGTAGACAGATAACTTTTTTTTTATTTAATATAGTTTTATAATTCAATAATATGGGAAATTTACTCGAGACTGCTAATATGAGAGGACGGTGGGAAAGAGAAGTAAAAATAAACATAGTTTCTCAGCCAAAATAGGACACATGACAAAACTGTTTTTAAAAATATGATCGGTGGAAATACACTACAGAAAGGACTAATGACACTTCAAAGAAACTTTAGCCTTAAAATTACTAGTATGTACCATGTTCAACTTAAGGACATTTGAACATTTTATGGTAAAGTATTTTTATCTAATATGTTATACTGTTACCTCTTGCTAGTACCGTAATAATATTAAGTTACTTAAATCATATATAACCAACTTTTTATGCAGCTGATAATGAGTTTTATATATATATATATATATATATATATATA